TGTGTGTTTTCTTGAAACCCTGAACCAGACCAGAATTCCAGTATTGCCCTAGACCTTGGACATAGATGGGCAAAACTGGAATGTTACACCTGACCCCTAAACTCGATTATGATACTGCACTAGGTGTTGGATTGGGTTGTCTTTGATATGCCAATCAGTGAGATCCTTAGAGGGGCTCAAAACCTGGGTATGTTGGGACAGTCCGAGAATTCATCTGAGTGGATGATCATAGTGACAGGATCAGCTCCTTTGTCGGACAAAGTGAATGATTGGGGATGCATTCTCTCTGATGGAAATCAAAGCTGTCGGCAGCCGATTTCAACCGTTGAAATTTGTTTTGCAAAATATATTTATATAGAGATATGCATATATATTATTGTTTCAAAATGTTTGCAAAAGGTTTTAATTCCCGGGATCCATGTGAGTAGAGAGTGCAACACTGTTCCTTGCAGCTGAGGGAGATGTCATCTCTTGTCGGACAGTGTTTGATCATTATGGGCTTAGAGCTTAAGTGTAAGACTATTGAGGGTAATACCTGATGGGCTAATCTTGCATATGCCCATAGTCCTTGGGTGTTTATAAGGTGGCTTGACCCAATGACCATTTAGTGTAAATGTTGAGCCCGTTAAGAGCCCATGGTGATGGGCTCAGGGGTTCACTTTTACATACAATGAATTCGGCAAGGCCTTGTAACAGAGGTTGGGCTAAACCCATGTAGTTGATGTGTAGATCAATGTTTGGGTCCCATGCCATACAAGGATACCCAACTGGGCTGTAGTTTGGAGGATAAGTGAGCATATGGACTTAATGGACCTAAAGCCCAAATCGAACTGGTTTAATATGATTAATTATAGAGGGGCGGTTCTGGGATTTAGATCAACAGATAACATAAGGGATTATCTCTATCCACTCAGAGAGTCCAGATCCAAATAGAGATTTGGATTATGAAACTCCTAATAAGATTATGAGGGCTAATCTTTATCTGCAGATAAGATAAGGGATTATCCTTATCTCTTAAAGAGAGTCCAGATCCAAATACAAGATTTGGATTAGGAAACTCCTAATGAGA